AAAGTTTTTAGTATTTACAAAATGAAAAGAGATAAGTTAATAATTATTAATTTGTTTAAATTTAAATAATTTATTAATTTATCTTTCTTCTTCATAGAATTCACCTCCAATCTGATTAATTCATTACCTAAAAAAAGAAAAAAATCAAGTAAATTATTAATTTGTTTATTTTTAATTGAGTAAAAAAATTTACTGTTTCTCTTTATAGGATTTGTCTCTGATCTAATTAAATAAAGATTTTAGATATTTATAAAATGGAAAGAGGTAAGTAAATAAAATTATTAATTTGTTTAATTTAAATAATTTATTAATTTATTAATATTTACCTTTCCTCTTTATAGAATTTGTTTCTGATCTGATTAATCCAACATCTACAAAAAGAAAAAAGGTAAGTAAATTATTAATTTGTTTAATTTGTTAATTTAATTAAATAAAAATATATTTACCTTTTTCTCTTCATAGGATTCGCCCTAATCCATTCAATCCCAAGGATTCCGGCATCTACAAAAGGAAAAGGTAAGTAATTATTAATTTGTTTTAATTTTTTAATTGATTAAAAAAAAAATTTACCTTTTCCCTCCGATTAAACCAAGGTTTCCGGCACCTACAAAAATGGAAAGAGGTAAGTAAATTATTAAATTGTTAATTTAAATAATTTATTAATTTATTAATATTACCTTTCCCCTTCATAGGACTCACCTCAGATTCGAATAATCCAAGATTCCAGCACCTACAAAAAGGAATGAGGTAAGTAAATACTAATTTATTAATTTAATTAACTAAAAAAAAAAAACTTAACCCTCCTCCCCCTATAGGACTCGCTTTCGATCCTACAAAAAGGAAAAAAGTAAGCATTCTAATGATTTTATTAACATATGTATTTAAAAATTATTATTATTATTATTATTATTATTATTAACATTACCTACCCTTCGTGATTATGGTTACGAATTGTCAAAATTAAATAAAATTATCGAAAAGATCTTAAAAAAAAAAAAAATTAATTTACTATCCGGAAATAGAAATTAAATCAACAATCTACAGAAATCGCCGATCATTACCAAATTCTAAATTTAGATTTTGAGAGATTTTTGGATTCATTATCATTTAAAAAGAACCTAAATTTTATCAGATCAGATCAGATAATAAATCAACCTAACTTAAAAATCTATTGTTCTGTCTGAAATTTTTAGATCAGGTTACAACACAAAATTAAATGTAAAATTATTAGAATCACTTGTTTGAAATCTACTAGAAATTAACCAAAATAAACTGTAATGCGACGGGATACTAAATATGCAAATCGATTTATTATTATTATTAATATTTCTAATTTCAAAATTATTATAATATATTTAATATAAATATATTCTAACTAAAAACAATAGATTCAGTAAATTTGAAATTTTGAAAATGCGAATTTTAAACGCATATCATTATTAATGTTGCTAAAATGAGCTAATTTATTACTTTATTGTATCTGTAATCTAGGTATAGTCTCCTTCCGTTTCAGATGATTTATCGCAAGGTTTGATTTCAGTTGATTGTGATGGTGATGAGGCAGTGTTATTATTATCATCATCATTTTGATTCTGATTATTATATCTCGTCCAAGTTTTTTCTCTCTTAATTTTTTCTTCAGATTTAAAAGAGAAATACTGTATCACAAGTTTTTAAGAATGCATGATATTAAATTTAAATTTAACTTAAATCCACCTAAAATACAAAAAAAAAAAAACTTTCACCTTTTCTCTGAATAAATAATGTCCAAGCTTTTTATTTCCTTTTTCATTGGTACTCTGTTTCTCTTTAATGACATCATCTTTTCTATGATAAACAAAGGAAAGATTATCTAATCCTTTTGCGTTAAGCACATTTGCATGTTCACCTATAATATTTTCCTTAAATTTTTCCATCGTAACCAATCTTCTTGCCCATTGTCCAAAATTCTGTTCACTATTTGATACGAGCTTCATTGATGGATGTTCAGGTAAATCTGAATTCGAATACCTATATTTCACATTAATTATAAAAATATTATTGTGCATTTACGCGTATGAAAATGAATTAATAAAGAAGAATACACACTCATCTACCACTGTTGGTAACCAATAAACTAATCTTCCCCCAACAACTAAAAATCTCGCAGCAAAATCTAAAAGATCAGATAATACTTCTGACATTTCATAAGGTTTTGTAGGTGGATAATAATCTTCCCTCCTAAAAAATTTATAATAAAATACACTTGGGTATATATTTTATTTATTTAAATTATATGTGTATTAATTCTCTTACTTGTGTGCTGGTATTCCATCAATTAATTTAGGAGTTAGTGGTCGTTTAAATGGTTCTTTTCTTCCTAAAGTTTTTGCACCTGCCCGAACACCATACGGAGCTATTAACAAATTTAAGATTAAATTTTTCGTACATTATTATACTATGTACTCCATCAAAGAAGGTATATTTATGCTTACGGTCTGTTACGATCGCATCAAACCAAAGATTGTCACGAAATGGATGATGACATATGTCAAATACTAATGTATCCAAAACTTTTCCATTTAAATTATATTGTTCCACGTTAGACTTTATAGACCTATTAGCTGACCAAAAAACATTTATCCGAGATTAGATAATAATTTTTTAATGTTTACACAAATACTTAAAAAAATTTACTTTGTCCACGTATTTGTCTTCCATCTATATCAGATCCCATTGTGAAAGCCCCAAATTGTGCACAAGTTAGGAGAAAGCTGCCTGTACCCACAAACGGATCATAAATTAATTTACCCGGCGCAGCCTTTAAAAAGATTTTGTTTATTTCAAAATTTCATTATATAAAAATTTAGAGTGAATAAAAACAGAAGCTAAAGTGAACTTTACATACCAATGCTTGATTGGCCATAATTAATGATAATTCAGCATCCATAGATGTATTCCCTATATATCTACGCTTTTTCAAATTATAAGTTTGAATAAGATCACGGTTTCCTGACGCAATCTATTGTGTTCAAAATTCATTGAATTAATATGTTAAATAAAAATGGCATTAAATGACGAGAAATATACCGATCTTCCAAAATATATCATGTAAGGTTCAGGTGGAGGTCCAGGTAAATAAGGATCTAATCCATAATCTTCTAATACACCAAATTGTACTTCAGGGTTTTTTAAATCAATATCACCTTTAAATCCTAAATATGCAAAAGAATTGATTATTTTGACTTGATAATCTGACGAACACGTTGATCCAAAGGCTGATACTATAAATTTAAACGATTTATAATCATATGGTGGCTATCATTAAAGATTGAAAAATAAATATTAAAGATACATGTGAAATTGCAATAATTTAGATAGAATTAAATGGAACTTACCCATCTTTCGGGTTTTGATTTTACTTGAGTGTGAACTTCTTCATATGTTTTTCCCATTCCCCATAATTCATATATATTCCTAAACAAAATAAATATATTAATATGATAATACAATTCAAGGGTTTAAATAACGATTTGTATTAATTACCTTATTAGAATTGCTCTCTTGATAAGTCTAGTAGCTTCTTTTTCTGAATCAATTTCAACGACCAAGAAAGGACACTACAATTAAGTCAACTTAATTAATTAATTAATAATTAATAATATTAATCATTTGAAATTAATATGAAAATTTACATTTTTTCTATATTCTTCTTTATTATAAGATATCTTCACATGTTCGATTTTTGTTAAAGATTCAAGTTCAGGTAATCGAAATTCTTCATGAGCTAATTTAAAGAGAAAAGTAAAATGTAAAGAAATAATTAGAAAGGAATAGAAATTTATCATGAAAGGAAAGTTTACATACATTGAGCAAATTGAATAAAATATTTCATGGCTCAACTTTTGATGGTTATTTAACCAGGGGTGATGTTCTTTTATCACGGTCGCACGATTTATTTGTGTAACTTCTTAGAAGTATATAGATCATTATTCCATTATGATGTATTATAATGGTTACTTATAAATATGGGAATGGCCTCTTTATCCGTTCTTCCATCAAAATGCCTTGATTTATCTTCCTTATTCATAGGGAATGAATCTCTAACAATCCTTTGTGACCCATTCCGTTGTAGAAATTGTAGAAATGCGCTACCCTTGTACAACCTTTTTTTTTTTTTTATTGTTCCTTTCAAATTAGTAAAATTTGAATGATATCGAAGGTTAATTGATAAACTAGATATGGATTCATAAATATCAATCTGTTGAATTATTCAAATCAAAGAGAAATTGGTAGACTTTAAGGCTTTTTCTTTTTGCCTAAATAAAATGTTTCGGTCATGTCCTCCCTAAATTTTTTACCCTGAATGTCGATTGATTTGTTTGATATTTGAAAAGGATTGGCTTTGATTTGAAATCATATTTTGATCCCTGAAAAGTTTACCAAGATTCATGGAAGGTTAATAACGAAAAAATTGATATAGTTTAAGACTAACAAACTTATAATATCACGTGATATCTACTTTGGTTTAATAAATTTGAAATAAAAAGAAATTTGAATTTTAAAATGAATTAGTAAAAAATACCCTTTGATAAGGTTTGAGAAGTCCAATCAAAAAGCAGAATAGAGAAAATCTGTGTTAATTTTATTTATTAGATCTTCATTCGACGCGTAAATCTTTGGAACTTTAAAATACCATAGTGATGTACTTAAATAATATTTTCAATTGCGCGTTTTTTTTTGGCCATGCATAACATCACTCGCTTTTTTTTCACATGGTACAACTTTCACCAAAAAAAAAAAAAAATCAAATTAATCTTGTAATACAAACGGATTTACCGAATTTACCGAGATCGCAAAAAGTTTGATCACCGGACTTTACCAACTGACCAAAGATATAAAAATACAAAAAACGTGAAAAATATTCTTTTTGACTTTATTTGTATAAATCAATTACATGTCCATTTAAAGAATTCTCGAAACCTTTTCTCGAGGAATCTTATAAACAAGTTTTTAAAAAAATGGGGTAAACAAAACCAGATGATTGATTGTTACATTAATTATGTGGCACAATCTTAACCAAAATAAATTTTTGTATAAAAAGATGGACAAATTTCTTTAAACAAAATAATCAAGTTATTAAAATGTCATATCATAACGAAACTAACACTTATACTTCGCCAGACGGAACCACCACCACGACCACCATGACTACTTCTTATTATAATAGTAGCAATGGCAATGGCAATGGCGGTAGACCTCTTGGAGAAGATCTATTTTCTAGTGATTTCTTTAAGAAATTTAAAGAGAGTGCTTTACCTACTCACGGTCAAATTAAAAGAGTACATTATAATATACAAGAGGCCCCAGAAAATTTACCAGATGACTTTAATTTATATGTTAAGCCCACCGAAAAAGTTGATTATCAGGTCTCGAATTGCACAGGACGTAAAAGAGCTGTTTTAATTGGAATCAATTATGTTAATACCCGATTTCAATTGGGAGGTAATTTATACATTTAAACCATTTGTCCTTTGAGCATATTTGATTTTTTTTAAATTTTTTTTTTTTTTGCTTTTCTCACAAAGGATGTTTCAATGACGTCAATAACATCAAGAGCTTTATAAAGAAAAACTATGGATATGACGAGTCAAATATGAAAGTGTTGACCGATAGTCCGGAAGGTCATTCGGATCCATCATTAATTCCAACAAGAGAAAATATTATTGAAGCTATTAAATGGCTTGTACGAGATCCAAAACCAAACGATTCGTAAGTGTTAAAGTAATTGACCCACGGTAAAAATCATAAATTAATTATTTATCATTTTTTTTGTAGATTCTTTTTCCATTTTAGTGGTCATGGAGGACAACTTGTAGATGAATCAGGAGAAGAAGAAGATGGATTTGATGAAACCATCATGCCCCTTGATTTTGAGAAAAATGGACAAATTATTGATGATGAATTACACACTTTGATGGTCGCACCACTTCCGGCAGGTAACCTTCGAGTTTTTTTTTTTTATTTTAAAAACTAATAATTTTATTGTAAATTAACATGTAAATTATATATATATATATATTTATTTAGGAGTAAGATTGACCGTCATCTTTGACTGTTGTCATTCAGGAACATTGCTGGATTTGCCATATATCTATTCCACTCGTGGTGTCATCAAAGAAACAAATATCCTTTCCTTGGGAGGGAGGAACCTTTTGAGTGCAGGTTTCAATTTTTTTAATGGAAAGGGCGTTTTAGATTCTTTAAAAGAACTAAAGTCTACCGCTACTAAGCATCAAAAACTTCGTTTTAAGAACATTGAAACAAAATCAAGTCCCGCCGATATAATCATGTTTAGTGGGTGTAAGGATACACAAACGTCTGCTGACGCTCAAGAAGCAGGTGAAGCAACCGGTGCCATGTCACATGCTTTGGTCAAATCGTAAGTGTATATTATCTCTCGTTATTATTATTATTTGTCATATTATTCAAATTGGTTTATCTTATTTTATAGATTGAAGAAGAATCCACATCCCACATATCAAGAATTGCTGAATTCAATTCGTGATGTTCTCAAAGCTAAATACGCTCAAAAACCCCAACTTAGCACGTAAGTTTCTTATTTCCTTTCCTTTTTTAAGCAAAAAAAAAAAATTTTTAATGTTATTTTTTGCTTTAGATCTCATCCAATGGACATGAACTCAAAATTTACCATGTAAAAATTAAATATTTATTTACGTATATATAATATAAATTATATATCTTTATTATTTCTTATCTTATATGTATATATTTTTTTTATTTTAAAATTTATATGTACTTTTTTTTTATTTTTTTTATTTTAAATTAAACTATTGATTATCCGATGAAAACAGTGAACTGATGGTGATTTTGCACCCAATCATTCGTTTCAACCACGTGATTTTATTAATAAATGCAATTTTCTTACGTCGTCAACTCGATAAAAATTTTTTTTTTGTCTGACAATGATACTTGGAATTGGAATTGATATTATCCATTTACCACGTATTAAAGATCTCTTAACGCGTAAACCGACGTCCCTATTACAATTTTCTAAAAGAATTTTATCAGATAGAGAGCTGAAAGAATTTAATGAAAGAGATGAGCTCGATAATAATGTTAAATTCCTGGCTGTTAGGTGTCCAATTATTTTTTATTTTGATTTATTTATTTTTTTTTTTTAAAACAAAAAAAAAAAAAAAAAGAAAAAAATTTATTATTATTATTTTTTTTTTTTACATCGAATTTTTCATTAGATGGACTTTAAAAGAAGCGGCTTATAAAGCTTTATTTCCTTATCATCGTATGACGTGGAAAGACGTCTCTATAAATAAAATTGAAGGCAATTAAAACCTTAATTTTATTTTTAATCTTTCCATTTTCTGAAGTTTGATGATAATTCTTACTAAATATCTAGGAAAACCACAATTAATTATACACGAACAAAAACAAGAAATCAACATTAGTAACGTTCATTCTTCTGTTTCACATGATGGCGAATATGTCATCTCGCAAGTTTTAATTGAAGGTACAACAAATAAAAAGTTTTAAGCTGTTTTGTAAGACTCTTTGGAAATATCCCCATTGGACCGAATTTCAATTAACCAATGGTTAACATTATCTACAGTCAACCCACCTCCTACATAATCACAACCTCTTTTTAAGCACATTTTTTTAATATAAAATACCACTTTATAATCACATTTTAATTATAATCACCATCACACCAATTATTAGGCCGATTTATTAGTTAAAATAAGTAATTTCCCTTTATATAGTCCCATTATCGCGTGACAAATCGGTCAATAACATTCAATTATTATAATAAATCACGTAAAATAAGTAACTTTCATTAAAAAAATTTTTAAAAATTTAAATTTTCACATAAAACTAAAAGGTGGTCAATGGTCCTACTCAAAAAAAAAAAAAAAAAAAAAAAAAAGAGGACTATTAGAAATTTAGAAATTTTAAAGGGACGAAAGAATTGAAATACATTAAAGTTGATCGGAGGTCTATTACATAATTACCTCTATACAATCACATCATTAGGGATCCCGAAGGGTGTGATTGTAGAGAGGGCGACTGTATACGATTATTATGCACATTGGATAAAATTTGATCAAATTCCAATTTCTTTTCCTCTTCCTCCCCAAACAATTTATAAATTTACATAATTCTGAATTGATAAACAAACTAGCTCATCTCGGTGCAGGATTATTTTTATTTTTTTCGAGAATTATGGTTACTACTAAAATTGCTACTGAACCTACTGACTTTAGAACTGCTTCCATAACACAACATTGGAACGACCCACCGCAAAAAGTACCTTTTTTTATTATTATTATTTTTTTTATTTTATTTTTTTTTGTTAACCGACCAAAGCAGACTTGATTTATAACATTTAAAAAAAAAATTTATATAGATATTTCATAAAGTTGAAGATGATCATAAGCAACTAAATTCTTCTCAAATTTGTTTAATAATACAAAAAGCTCTAGAAATTTGTAAGGACAATGCAAAGGTAAAAATTTTCACCTTATCATTTGAATTTTGTGTAAATTAGAATCGGAAATAGTTTGGAGGACTAATTACAATTACAATTAAAAATTATTATTTATTTATTTATTACGTTTTGATAAGTAGAATTCTGATAAAAAGATTATTCTTGATACCGAAAAAAGACTAGAAATTTTATATGAAAAATTAGAAAGTAAACAATTATCAGAATCCGTACTTGGTAGATTAGGTAGATTATGTGAATGTAAGTGTAAGATCTTTCATGTGGTAATAATTTTAAGTGTACAGTAATTAAGTATTATTTTTTTTTTTTTTTTTTTTTGTAGATTTGGAATTAAAGGATTTAAATAATTCTATTACAATTCATGGTAATTTAATGACTACAGATTTCGATAAAGAAGGGAAATGGTTATTAGGAATTAAGAGATTATTAGATTTATATCAAAAAACTTTAAAATAATAGATTTCTTTTTGAAATTTAATGACTACAGATTTTGATAAAGAAGGGAAATGGTTATTAGGAATTAAGAGATTATTAGATTTATATCAAAAAATTTTAGATTTCTTTTTTAATTTTTTATAGAGTAAATTTAGACTAAGAATATTATTTATATCTACTATTACTAATGTTTAATGTCGTTGAAAACGGATTTCTTGTTCCTTTATACTTTGAAAATAGAAACATTTTAATACGACGCGTAATTCAAAATGTCTGTTTCTTAATACTTTTTTTGCGTTTTTGTCTTGTTTATTAATAATTTACTAAATAGTTTAACTAAAGTACCAAAAAAACAAGAAAAGAGGGAGAAATAAATTTTTTTTTTACATTAATGTATCCATGATTATGCCTGCAAACCAGTTCAAAGATAATTATTTTTTTTTTATAAACATCTATGTTCATTAATCTATTTATATATATATAATCTCAACAAGCAACAAAAAAAAAAAATCTCTGTAAAACTATTATTAAAGTTTTTCGATTATATATCATTTTTCTTTTTCTTAATTTCTTGAGATTTACTACCGTCGCTCTCAGATAAACGACGCTTCTTTAAATTATTCTCATCTTTATCATCCTCGAACTGTAAATCTCGATCATGACCATAATTGGTATCCTCCTCCGTATCCTCCTCGTCACTCATTGGTATATCAATTCCTCCATGATATTCCCCGGGAATAATTTCACCTGGCAAATCATTATAATTCGTTAATGTAGGAATGTCTAAACATCCCGTTACCTTTTGACAATAATTTAACATTCCCGTTTCAAAATTTCTAACAGAATATTTATTGGCCAAATTTTCAAGATGTTCCTCAAGTTTTCCCTTTACATTTAAAAACTATAAAAATAAATAAAATAAATCAAATCAAATTAAGTTTATGTTTATACCATAAGAAAAAAAGTCTTCCCAACCCCAAAAAATGAAATTTATCACATACCTCCTCCATTCTGATCTTTTTCTTTTGACGAAATTCATCTAAATATGCCGTACGTTGCCATAGTAAATAATCATCGGCACGGGTAGCAGCAAAATGAGGATCATCATCATCACTTTCCGAAACATCCGAATGGTAATCAGATGGATCAATATCACCGTAAGAGAATATTTCCAATAAAGTATCCATTGAACTATAAGAATCACAAAAATAACATTCGATCGCGGCTTGTGTTAACAAGTCCAATAATAATGCATACCACGTTTGGCTAACGGTCATTGATTCATGGTGTTCGAAATCAAGTTGCTCATGAGCCAATCGATATGTTATCGCACTTGTATTAAGGAATACAGGAATCGCATCAATCAATCCCGGAGCTGTTCGACGTGTTGGAATTGGTTTAGGTGGTGTACTACGTCGTCTTGACATTGGAGGTGTGATGCTTGAATTTTTTGGATGCTGTTGACATGCAACACATATACTTTTTCTATGTTTTCGACACCTTGATAGTAAAGCATTTTTGAAATGTTTCCCATACTTGGAGAGACATGTTGGCAATCTATGAGCTCGTTGTTTCGGAGATTTCTGAGGCAAATCTGTTGTTGTTGTCGTTGCCGTTGTTTCCGTTGTTGTCGTCGCCGTCGTTGCCGTTGTTGCCGTCGCCGTCGTTGCATTTATCGGTGACGTAGACGTAGGATTAGGTTTAGGTTTTGATATTTTTGTGGGGTTTTGGGGTTGTGGTCCAGACATAGAAATATGAGTCCGATCAAATACCAGGTGTAACAATTGACATAAATATAACCGATGTTTAAGCGATAAAGGTAATAACACGGAAAAAGTTTGAGTTCGATGAGATTGTAATAAACCATCAACAATGGCTTCAACTCCTTGACCTTTTTTATTATGAAATGAGGATGGTTGCTGTTGACCTTCAGCCCTTAATTCAGTTTTAGCCTGATCAATTTTAGCATTTATTGATAAGAATAAGAGATAATCAAGGATAACATTTGTCGTCGTAATTTGTACACCATGATTCGTATGATTCGTTAAATGTTCAGCGGTGTTGGTAAGAGGTTTATGATATTGATTTGGTAATTTTAAAATATTTTGTGATATGGAAGGTTGAATTTGCTTTGGCGTTGATGATAAAGTTGTGGTATTTGATATTCTAACGGATGTATTTACAGGAAGGGAGATGGTTTGAGTTGTAGAACCGTTAGCGTTCCCGTTGTTGTTAGCACGACCCATTTCTCAAACTTTTTTTTTTTCTTTTTTTTACTGTTACTGAGTAAAGAAAAAAATAAAAGTATTTGGATAAAATAAAATAAATTAAAATAAATAGAAGGTGGGTTTATATAACGTAATGATTTCTTAGGCAACCCGAATTATGTAAAAATAAGGTTTTTGGAACTCCGAGTTTAAAAAAGATATGCGACAGCTTGCTGCGGTGAATTTTGTTACTATTATTATGATTTACCTTCAAAGGCAAAGTAAAGAGAAACTTAGATAAAAGATTTAAGAAAATTTCTTTTTTTTTTTTGTTTTCTCTGACAAATATAAGAAAAATAAAAAATCAAATCAAATTAAGACGAGAATCGATCAATTTATATACTTTTTTGTCATAAAATTCCCGTTTTTTTTTTTTTTATTATTATAGTTAATATATTAATATATTAATTAGTATGTATACATACATAAAAAAAAAAATTTAAAGTGTGTTTTGTAGATTACTTTATCAGTCGACAGATATGGTCAATTACAAGGGAACATATAATGGATTTAGTTTAAAAGCTTAAGGAAAATTTCGGATGCTTCGGAACCTATTTTTGACAAAAAAATCCGTTATCCGCGCATCTATCCATCAGTTTTCAGAAATTTTAAAAAACCGGAAAAATCGGATACAAAAACCGGCAGAGGAATTACGGAGGAACTTAAATGACTTAAAAGTATCATACGATTCTTAAATAAGAGTTACAAGTTATAATTTAAAAAGCCACAACAACAAAGGGTAACAAGATACAAAACCTGTTATGAACATAATCGGAAATCTTTTTTTGTGTGTATTGAAAGAGAATGATTGTAATACGAACCCGCGGTGAAGAAATTGGTTGTTTCAAAGTAAATTAGTAACGTGAAACCTTCGATTGGTTGACTCCACATTTAAACTGACTAAATCCGGAAGAAAGAGGATGTAAAACACTTATGTACGGAAAGATTGTGTATCACTTTTGATAAAAAATTTATTAATCTAAAGTATTGATAAGAATTTCCCCAACTATTTGGAAATACTACATTATAAAAGTGATATGCAATACAGTAAACAAATCGATTAATTTGTCAATTCTTGATCAAAATTGTACTAGACTAGATTTAAAAGCAGAAATTTGATAAAAGCAATTTCTTTATCTGATTGCATACCTAATTAATAATATATCCTGGATTTTGTTGTCAATCTAACAAAATCAACAACAACAATAACAACAACAACATCATCATCAGTAAATGGTTGGTTTGATAATTTAAACTAGCCAATTCGAAAAAATGTTGATATTTATTTATGCATCTGCCCAACGAAAATGTTGACGAGGAAGAATCGCCTAAAATCGCCGCCGAGCATGCCCTTGTCAATAATACTCGACCACTTTTCAAGTTTTCCATTCGGAAAAAGGTTTTGTGATGAATGAATTTTCTAATACCTGATATTGTTCATTTGCGAATAGCTTCGAGCAAACAAGTATCGCGTAATCATCAATAATATGTGTACATTTATTATTGATTGAGCTGTGCCCTATTGCATGTAATCTCCACCCGTCGTCTTCCATTTCGTGTAACCGAACGATTTTCTCAAACATGGCTTTTTTTAAAGTAAATGTGTTCTGTCGATTCGATCAGATTTTAATAAAGATAGCGCGCAAAAAGTTCAATTTACTACGCCATAATTATCGTTGTGCTACAATACATTGTAATCTATCATGATTTTGTTGGAAAAACTAAGCAATAATGATTCATTTAGTTCCGAAATATTCCACCATACATTTTTTTTTTTTCGCGAATTAATTTCATGTTGTGACATGTTTCATAATATTTGAAAGTTCAAAGAAAAAAAATTTACCCACGCCTTTTAAACATCATTTGTTTCATTTTTTTTTTTTTTTCTTTTTTACCCACGATATCAATAAACCCCTCTTTTCTCCGCATATAAATTTTTTCCTTTTTTTAAAAAAAAATTATTTCTTATTTAGTAGTTGTAACGCTGCCCGTGCTTTTAAATTTGAGGCTTAACGATCTTCTGTTTAATCAAAAAATAAAGAAAAAAAAAAATTTACAGAGCAACCGATAAGAAACTTTCTTTTTTTTTTTCTTAATTGTGATAGATGATAGAATTACTAAAAAAACGGAGATAACATACAATAATATGAGATTGTACATCTTAAATTTCCGTTGTATTTCCTCGATAACTGATAAGGAATGTGTGACAGACGGAATGCGTGGCGTAGTAATCATTTTTTCTAAAAGAATTCAGTCCTTGGTGTGAAAGACACAAGTAAAAATGCAGCTCTTCGGAACCAATTAACAATTAAACTAAAATGGGAAGCCATCCAGAACTTTCTGCGATAATGTCGGGCGCAGCAAATCCGTTTCAAAATTATTTTGATTCTCAATCAATTTGAAAATCTGAAAGGAATCTGTCTAGATAACGGGATTTTTTTTTATTGACACATTATTTGAAAAAAAAAAAAAAAGATAAGATAAAAAAGCTATCCTTTCAATTTGAGAGGTTTTTCCTATCAAGACCCGGTTTAAAACCTTGCATGTGCCTAGTGAAATACGTGAATCGATCGTGAAGGTCGCAGATTTTTCAACATCCTTCTATTACAACATGTGTAGTGAAACGCTATCTTTTTCTTTTTACGGACCAAATCTTCCGATTTCTATTACCTGTCATGTTCTTTTTATTAAAAATTTCGTCATGATTTTTTTTTTTTCTTTCCCCATTGATAGAATTGTAAACGGAAATACTTTAATCTTTTAAGGGCTATTATAGTCTAAATTACCTATAAATGGAAGAAATGAGTTAGGTTTTGTAGAATCGTGTATGACGAAAGTAAAAAAAAATATAGTTTTTTTTTTTTTCAAGGGCGACCATGACTATTGATCAACAAAAAAAGACCCATGATTGAATATATTAAGGCAAAATAATCAAATAATAATAATCGGAAATCGGTTTCTAACCTAATCCGTTTTATTCTATATCAAAATTGAGATACCACAAAAATACATGTGAAATGTTGGTTTGTTCCGATTTTTAACATTATCATAAACAAGATTTGCTTTGATGTCATAAAGAAAATATATCCATAATTTATTTACTTTGTCTAACTTATTTGTAAATAAAATCTTTATAATAAAATCTTTATATTCATTTTAATTCATTGTTTAGTTGAAAAATAAAAAGTTTTGCTTAGTGGGATACCACCATGTGATATGGCTATATCACATGGTGGTATCCCACTTAGATTAGATTATATTACCACCATATAATCTAAACATATGGGCGGATTTGACTCCGCATGACTCGTTTATATCACTTATACAACAAAATGTGATATTTGGTGGATACGATTTTGATTGGTAAATTAGTTGATCAAAAAGATCTAACCAAAACAATATACGGAAACTAACAATGAACGCGCTTTTTTCTCACACTTGTTCGCTTTGCCAAAAAAATTTTCCCTCTAAAAATAAACTATTGATACATGAAAGAAGTAAGCACCGAAACAATAAAATTATACCCCACCATACTTCACTTATTTTGCCTTCTTTTGAACATATTGTTTA